AACAATGACCAACACAAAGGTTCTCTCAGTCCCATATCTTGCTTCAAATGTGAAAATGGTATGAATGAATGCAGACATGCAATACAACCCTCCATCACAAAGCCATTCAGATATGGACGAATGGAGCATTACTCATTTGAATAACATCAGTCTTCTCAAGTTTCTGTATTTACATGCACAACTTTCTCTACTCATTGCCAGCAACAGTTACAAGATCAGTCAACCACAATTGCAGGCAACAAAACAGTTTCCAATTTGCTGATGTACAATTCCAATGCCTTAAAAATACATCTTCACAAATAAGTCCGAAATCATATAGGCGCTGTAAGTCTGTAACAAAGCCATTCTCCAATACAGTATTCTCCCCACTCAATTGGGTCAAAAAATATATTTCTATTACCAATAGGGTCAGCTGAAAAAAATACGTCATCCTCCAATGTAGTAGGTAAGCCTTAGTTACAACTACACAGCATACATTGTAAACTGGACAGGGGGTTATTTCAATGTAAAATAACCATGACTTCTTAATGATGGCTGCAACTTGTGCCATGCACGGTTGTCACTGTCATACCAATCTAGCGCTGGACGCTGGCTCTGTGTTTTTCTCATACTTTTAATCATTTGTAAAAGTTTGGAAGGCTTGGCTACTAAGGGTGGGACGTGTGTAAGTTTAAACAAAAAAAGTTCCCAAATGTTTAAATGGAACCACCCCTTTTGGAGGTTTGACGTGTTAATTGACGCAATCTGGCATTCATTTTTATTGTTAACGATACCTGTAAAATGTATTCTGATTTTCAGAAGACTTTACTGCTCAGTCATATCAAGGGAATACCATAAATTCATCACAGGAACTTTGTGTCAACTATTTCACATTCTATACAAATTGTTGTGCTTAAAGTTTTCAATGACACTGTGGTTAGGGTGGGACATTTGCATGTTTAAATGGTATGGGAAAGTTTTCTAAACGTTTTTCAAATTAAACGTAAGTTCAGTCACATGGGTCAGTGAGAATAAATGTACCTACAACAGTTAAGTTCTTTTGTTATTTCCACTAACCATATTCAAAGCAAGCTGTACAGAGCTACCAACCGCTGTACACAGCATAAGAATAACCACTTACTTATTTGAAGTATAATTTGAATACAGAACATCTGACAGCATAACCCAATTTTTGTTTATCTGTTAATACTACCAATCATTCATTTACATGCAGAGACACTTGAGAATATTAATAACATAAATTAAACTAATTTTTACACATTTGTAAACACACCCTCTCTAGGTCATATTACTATCGAAGCATTTGCGGGCCACCAACAATTTAGTTTTTTTAATTTCAAAATAAAATCTCACCATGGGGAGATAACACTTTGAAATGAAAAAAAATGTTGGTGGTCCCTATAAGCTTCTGGAACACCAATTTAGTATGTATTACTCAAACCTAGATATTTAGATAACATGTTGTCAGAATACAGGTACATATAATTCTTTGGCTTTGATAGCGTCTTACCACCAATCTGCTCTTTTTACATATCCTGTACATGTACCCAGATGAATTGTACCCATTTTGTCATGAGTTAAATTTCATGAACACTTTCTCACTGAACAGTTTAGTACGTGTACATTTCATATGTGTTCTGATACTGCTTCGTCTTCTAGGAACCTGACAGCAGTAACATAATGGCCAACTATGTGGTTGATGCGGATGTACTACTACATGCATTCATGCCTGTATCAACAAAGTCATTCCATTCTAAATGTAAACACTCAACAGACACTTTGTCCATCAAAATCCTATTTTACAAAATGATTACATGTCATATAAAAAGAACAAAGTTCCCCAAGACTACCAAAATGAGAACTATAAATATGTTGCTTCTTTGTAGCAAATATATTTAAGAAAAGATGTCAATCAACCAACATAAAAAAATTACCTATAATCAAAACACAACTTTAACACTTTTGACATTGTGATTGGAAATGACTATTGAAATGAAATTAAGTTCAGGTAAAGACAAATGAAGTTCCAACCAAGGAATGCAGGGGTGTAGTTTTGACACAAATAGTGTTCCCCCCCTTCCCCCTTTCATGAAACATGTAATAGTACCATTTCAGCAGACGTAATAATGCGGCCTCGACACTGAGCAATATTATAATCACTGCAGAAAAAAGAATACTTTTTGCATCAAGAATTACTTATTCAACTCGCGAAGAAAAAAAGCAAACCGTGATTCTAGCATTCAGTTCATGTACACTAGCAGAGTTATCAACTACAAGTTCTTACTTTTGCAGTGAATTCCCAGATATATTGTGTCCTCCATTTTAATTCACAATCGAGCAAATGTGAGTTGAGACATGGTTTCAACAAAAACTGCAGCCTTCATCTCATTTTGTGCACTATTTCTCCGGCATGTCCAAACAATTCTGGGGTACGTGCAATGAAAGCAAATGAGGAAGGGGGCATGAATAAATTTACAGATGAGAACAACTTACAAATGCAAAAAGTGTCCTTCAAAAAAAATTTACAATTCTAATTATTTCTAGGGCTGAAATCTGTGGAGAAACTTTTTATCCTGAAAAGGCAAGCTTAATTCAACAACTCTAGTAAGAATATTAACCCTAAACTAGAAGGTAATCGTTATACGTATACATATTGGTCTGCCCATCCTAGATCAGGAGTTATGCAGGGGCCAATAAGCCAATTAAGGGCCCGTTCATTTATGAAGTTTAGCCCACTCGACACACTAGGAATTTCTGCACTTTCAGCAAGTCAAAGCAGCGTCCATTTTTAAATTCACCAAAAAGACACTCAAATACAAAAATAAAAGGCTACATATGGTTTTGAAATGAACACATGAGAGGTGTAAGATTTGAAGAATTCCCATGTTTTAGCAAATCCTAAAGACAGAAGAAAAATCATTGCCCTTGCCTCTGCTTACAAAAA